CTGACTTGGAATATTTCAATAGTTCTTAATTATACATATACTTGTTAATAGTGAGAGGGAAACTTCATACATGTGATAAAAACTACATCACACAAAACCTTCATCTAGCACCTCACTTTGTTAAGAAACACTGATTTTCCTATTAAGCAACAATTTTAAAAGACCAGTTCTCACCTCTTACTACATCCTAACCTGGTGACTAGCTATTGAAATTAGAGAAAAAAAGATACACTCAAAGGCACACAGACTTCACTGGAAGTGGAAATATTTCCATATTCAAGTTATGTTATTAACTATGTGGAACAAATAAGATTATACAAAAAGAATTAAGGAAATTGAAAGTGACAGAATACCTACAACCACTCACACTCAAGGCTCAGGGAACTTTCTGGGAGATGTGGTGAAAAGACAGCTAGAGCCAAAGGAGTGCCACAAAGGGCTTAATTCTGGGAGTGACATGGGTATGATTCACATGGACTCACAGTTGCTATGGTTATCCCCACTAGACATATAGAAGAGCAATCCAATGTAAAAATCCAGCACAGACGGGAAAGACGCTTGTGATGTTATCATCCCCATCTGTAGAGTTATTTTTTCTTAATGTCTGAGCCATCTCTCCACATGCAGTATTTTAAAACATATAAAAGCATGTCATAGGCCCTAGTGCAGAAACTACTGTTGTTGCTACTAAATGAAATGTGATACTTATCTAATTGGCTTTTAGATTCTTATGTTTATACCCTCAGATTATTGCTGTCAATGTTTGTCTTAAAAGTTCATTTGCCAGGTGGTGGTCCACGCCTTTAATCCCAGCACTCGAGGGGTGGATCTCTGTGAGTTCGAGGCCAGCCTGGTCTACAAAGCAAGTTCCAGTAAAGACACAAAGCTACACAGAGAAAATGTTTCATTTTACCATGGGCAAAGATTTATACAGAAATTTTTAACTAAACAAAGTAAAAAAAAGAAAGACTACAGAATGCTCACTCCTAAATATGACATCTAAATCACTCTCTCAAAGGCTCAGGGAAGATTTACAAAAAAGGGAAAGGAGCAGAAGAAATATAAGGTCTGGACTGGAGAAGAGGCTCACTAGTTAAGAACATATACTGCTCTTGGCAGGGACCTGGGTTCAGTTTCCAGAACCCCTATCACTTTGGGCAGCTGCCTGTGACTCCAGAACCAGGGGATCCAACACCCTCTTCTGGTCTTCATGGACACTTTACCCATATACACAAACACATACACATTTTAAATAAATAAAGTTTCTTAAACATTTTAGAATCTATAGGAAAGGTAGAGACATATATAAAGTTCACTTCTGGGCATGAAAAGCTCATTGCACTCTTGAAATCCCAGAAATTGTGGTTAATGACCCAGGACCATTCACAGGATAAGACCTATCAACATTCCGCTATGAAGAAGGGTAGGATTCATGAGGTTCTGTCTCTCCCTGAGGATCTATGTGAGTCACCAAATTTATTTAAAGACATTAGAGTAGAAAAAAATAATATAGAAGAGGGATAAGAACAGTAAGAGTGGGAGAGAGACAAGATGAGGCAATAGGATGTGATTATAAGCAAAATACATATATATATATATATATACATATATATGCATGTATTATATGTCCGTATGTTAGAATGCATTCTATATATTGCAATAATATCATAAGAAAATTTATAATACACACATATATGAAAAATAGAGACATTAAAAAATAAGAATTACTATCATTACTCATGTGCGCATACCCATATACTGATGCACAGGCACACACATAATTTTTACATTAAACATAAAAATTATGAAAATAAAAAATAAATGATTAAAAAATTCAACACACTGTTGCTGTATGCTTTAAGCTCAGCACACAGGATAGAGAGGCATTTAGATATCTGTGAGGTGAACATCAGCCTGGACTACGTATTGAGTTCTAGCACTGGCAGAGATAATTTTGAGACAGTGTTTGAAATAAAAAAAAAACATGCCCTCATTATAAAAGTTCTAGAGAGACTAGGAATGACAGAAGCATACATCAAATAAAATACATAATTCACATCAAAATAACAAATGCTTTATATTACAAACTCACAGCCAACATTATCCTCAATGGAGAAAACTCAAGCAATAACATTGAAATAAATTAAAATCAAGAGTGAGACAGGGCTGTTCACTAACTCTCTTTCAATACAATCTTCAAATCACTAGCTACAATAAGCAACAGAAGAATGAAATTATAGAAAAAGAGAAAGTCATATTAACCTTATTTACAGAATACACACACACACACACACACACACACACACACACACACACACACACATACACACACATATATATTCTACCAGAAAACTTATTGAATGATGAACAATTTCAGTAGAGTCAGGATACAATTCAGCTTACAAAAATCAGTAGTTTTTATGTACACCAGCAGGCTAAGAAGGAGATTGTTTCCTTTTAAAATACCTTCAAAGTACATAATAAACCTTACAATGATCCTAATCATGGAGGGGAAAGAATTCTACAGTGAAAGCTTTAAATCACAGAATAAAGAGACTGACATACTACAAGATGGAAAGACATCCTTTGATTCAGGAATGGTAGAACTGACATTGTGAAAATAATGATCCTACCAAAAGCAATTTATAGATTCAAGGCAACACCAAGAAAATCACCATGACATTCTTCAAAGAACTAGAAAAAATTCCTAAAATCTATATGGAATCACACAAGATTCTGGATAGCCACAGCAATCCTTAATAATAAGAACAATGCAGAAATACTTATTCCAGATTTCAAAATATGTTCTAAAGCAGTATTAATAAACATAGTGTCCTACAGTTGCAAAAACAGATATATAGATCAATGGAAGAAAAAATATGACACAAACATGAGTACACATGACTACAGTCACATGATATTTGACAAAGATCCAAAAATACACACTGAAGAATAGACAGCATCTTCAACAAATGTGCTGTGAAAACAGGATGTCCACATGTAGAAGAATGAAATAGACCCATATTGATCATCTTGCAGAAAACTAACTGCAAATAGACCAAAACCGTCAGTGAAAAATCTGAAATTCTAGATCTTCCAGAAGAAAACTGAAGCAGGACCCAAAAGAATATGGGTGTAGGAAAGGATCTCATGAACAGGACTCCATTTGTCTGGAAATTAAGGTCAACAATTGACAAATATTGCCTCACAAAATTAAAAAGCTTTGTACAGCAGAGAAGGCAGTCCATTGAGTGAAGGCAAACTCTACAAAGTGAGAATCTTTGCCAGCTATATATCTGATAATAGTTTAATATCAGAATCTATAAGGTACCCCAAAAAACAAAGACTTAAGAAAACAAATGACTCAATTTAAAAATGAGATATGAGAGACGGGCATAGTCTCACACCTTTAATACCAGTACTCCAGATGTAGAGGAAGGTGGATTCTAGCGATTAGAAGAACAGCCTGGTTGACATAATGAGTTCAAGGACAACCAGGGCTATGAAGAGACACTATATCTCATGGAAGGTGGGTAATGAAGTTGAAAAAAATTCTCAAAAGAAGAAATAAAAAATCTAAAAATATCTACCCAATATTCGTTACCTATAGAAATTAGGTAAATAAAACTTAGAACAACTTTGAGATTTCATATTACCAATCTCAGAGTGGCTAAAATCAAGACAACCAATAGCAACAAATACTAGTGAGGATGTAGGAAAATAGAATCATAATCTACTGTGTGATTGCAAACTAGTGCAATCTGAGAATCATTGTGATTAGTTCTTCAATAAACCAAACATACATCTAATATATAACCCAGATTTACCACTTCTTGACAGTTCTTCAAAAAGACAACATCCTACTCCACAGATGCTTGCAGAGATATGTTCACTGATGCTCTGTTCACAATTACTAGGAATGAAAACAACTTATATATCCTTCAATTAATAGATAGTGAATAGATAATGAAAAATGTGGTATATGTATATAACAGAATACCATTTAGCTGTAAAGAAAATTGAAACCATGCAGTAGATTAGTGGAACTAGAAAATATTATATTGAGTGAGATAACCAAGACCCACAAAAACAAATACCCCATGTTATTTCACACCTTTGGTTCCTAGCCCTCAATCTCCATATATGTGTATACAACAAAAACTGATTACAGAAAGGAGGTAACTAAAATGGGGCTATGACAAGGGGAACCCCTAAGAGGGAAATAGGAGGACACAGGTAATATGAAGGAGAAATGGGGAAAATGGGAGGGACTTTTAACTGGAGAAGAAAGAAGGAGGAAAATACAGAAGGAGAGGAAGAGGGAATGATGAATAACACTATGGATGGTTGAATGACACAGGGATTCAATATTTTATATTATTTAAAGGGAGTTGGGGAGTTTTATATTATCTAAAGGGATGACCAAGAGAAAAAATAATATATTTGTATTTTAACTAAAAAGTTTTAAAAGTACCATTCAAAGCTGTTTATACACGGAGATATGTAAATGTGGGTAAATTATGTTAGCTCTATCATCAGATCAAACTGAGTTTGAATGCAAGCACTGACACTTACTAATAAAGCTTAAACACACTGCCATGTAAAATAAATAAACTGCCTAGGAAAAACTGAAGGAGAAAGGAAAACACCAACTTGAACCTTATAAATAAGATTACCAAGCTTCCTTAGGGACTATGGGTTGACACAAGTATAAGGAGACAGTAACAACCAGGAAGATTTGGGGCCCCACAACAACAACAATTCCACGTGGACAGTAATAACATCACTAAGCTGACAAACATCATCTACAGATCAGCTTTGAACTACAAAGTGCTCAGAGCAATTTTGAGAGAGCTAGCTGAGATGCTCCAGTCTCAAAGACTACCTGAATAAGGATTTGACATAGACCCTGAACTTTGGCATTATACACAGACTGGATAACGAAGGATATAGTTACGTTTCCTAGAATTTGACAATTAACCTAAAATTTTCCTTTTCAGGATAAAGATACCTTCGCCCATACCCAGCAGGAAGCGATTTCAAGAATGTGACGCCCACATTCCCAAAGAGGTGGTGTGGGGGGGTGGTTTTTTTGGTCTTTTAATGGGTCTTGGGTCTGGGATAATTTTCATTGATTGGGGGGGGTTGGTTACAAGTTGTCAAGGGTTAGGAAAAGGGCTAAGCAAAGGAGATTAGATTTAAGGTTCTTATTTTAAAAAAAAGAAAGAAAGAAGGAAAGAAAAGAAAAATGTAAATACTTTACATTGGATTGGATCGTTTTATATTGTATACAAGTTATATACATTGAAATTGATATTGTTAGAAAATGCTATATGTATATTTCTAATTGTACCGTTCATTTAACAATGTAATGCAATTTTCTGATCCTTGAATGTTGTTATTACCAACTATTAGGATATAAAAAAATGAAAGTTAGTAGTTAGACATTATAATAGAACTTGTAGTTATATTAGGTGTGTTTTAAAGATTGAGTACATATATTTTAGATAGACAGGTTATCTTCAGACCCTTCAGAGATCTACAGAATATGACATTTAAAATGTTTTAGTAACTTAGAAAACTTTTCTTTTTTGTTATGACTATGAGACATGCCGGCTCCTGGCAGTACCAATCTACTTCAGAGAAAATATGGGCATTGAAAAAACTGCAATTGGAGTTAACTTCCATTGTGGCAAAAGTTAGCCACTGGACAACAAAGTATCCTCAAATCAACTGCTGATAAACAGGACAGACAGGACACGAAACAAAGGACTACTGATTCTTGTCAAAACAAGTGTGGTTACGGACAATATGGCACCATCCCTGAAGTGGCCTTCCCAATCCGGGAAAAGTACAGTGCCCTTTTCTTCGAAGGCAGCTGAACAGGCAGTGGGCCGATGGCTTCTGATGTGCAATGGGACAGTGGCTGAAACAGTTATTCTTCAAGAGTAATTAAGCGCACGTCTCTCAACAGTAGAATGGCATTTAATAGAGGGATGTGGAGAAGAACGGGATGCTGAGATGAAGCCACATACACACATAGCCAAGAAGAATGGACAGCTGAATTCAAAAAAACATCAACAATTTCCAGAATTTAAAATCCTGAATCATGACATGACAATAGTGGAATTCAGGTGTTTCTGGTATATAGACTGCTCTCACACCAATGTGAGATTGAACTGTTGACCTTGTGTACATCCTACTTCCCAAATACGCTAAGATACGCTAAGCCTATAGGCTGAAGATGATGCCCCGACACTGCGGAGAAACCTCAGATGATTGTCCAGGCAGCTGGCTGTTTCTGTCAACTCACAATTTTTTGGAAGTTGCTTGCATATGCTTCCTGTTTTTATTTTTTTGTTAGCTAATATTATTTCCTTCTTGGGTCTCTGAGAGAGTTGAAGATTAGTTAGTTATAGTTGAAGATTAATTAGGATAGAAAGTGAATTAGATACAATAGGGTAGATAATGGAATTATTTTCTCTGAATTTGTCAAATACAAATGAACTAGACATTGTTTAGGTATTTATTACTTGTATATATTGTATATAGTTATTGTACTTTTGTATATAGGTTTTCTTATGTTAATTATAAGCTTTTTCTTTTTTTCTTTTTATTAAAATAGAAAAAGGGAAATATGGTGATATTTTATTTGTATTAAAATGTTATTTGTATGTTAATAAATAAATTTGCCCGGGGGTCAGAGCTATTAGCAAGCCATAGGAAAGCAGGGCAGTGATGGCATACGCTGGTAATCCCAGCACTTGGTAGGCAGAGCTGGGTAAGTCTCTGTGTGTTCTGGGATACAGCCAGTATTGGATACACATGCCTTTAATCTTAATACCGATCATGGAAAACCTGGAGGTCTATACAGACAGGCTGTGATGAGGCGGTCATGTGGTTGGGTTTACAATCAATGAGAAGGCAGAACAGGAACTCTATATAAAGACTTTAACACACAGGAAGCTCTGGTTCGGAGAGGTAGGACCACCGCAGGAGGAAGGGTAAGGTTTTAGCTCTTAGCTCTGACCTCTTGGCTTTCTTCTTTGCATTGGTTCTGTGTTTCTTATTTAATAAGAAGGTTGGTTACATCTACACCAAGGGCCTTTTGCTTGCTAAGCAAGCGCTCTACCACTCAGCTAAATCCCCAAACCCAATCTGATATTTTTTCATCCCTCCTATTTCAAAGAGTGAATGGTGATGTCTCATACAACCCCCCGAGTATTCGCTTTTGACTCATATGGGACAAATGTGCATAATCCAATATTCTCCTTTCACTAACGCTGAACATATGAGACGGACAACAATGGAGAGAGGGTTTCAGTTTCCCATCACACACAACTTCACTGTGGGATTTGAGAGAGGGTTTCAATTTCCCATCACACACAACTTCACTGTGGGATTTGATACTGGTAGGTAAATGGTGCGATTCTGGCAGAGATTGGCTACACTGTTCCTGTAAGTATTATTTGGAATCTGCCTTCATATATCTAATTGGTGTGCTTGTGAATTCTTTGAAAAACAGAGTCATTACGCCAAAAAGAAAAAAAAAATTACCCACCTGTAAAGATGGTTAGTATAGTGATAGAAGGGGGGGGACACCAATAAGCTATAATGTATAAATATCTTACAGTTAAAGTAAATTTGCAATGAATCAAATTATAGTTCCTAAAATTAATTCATGGCAACAATTTTGAATGTCTGTATGGTATAAATACAAAAACCCATTCGTTATTAGTCAGTGTTTGGGGGTCTGAATAAGAATGTACATGTCACAACAACTCCATGCCAAATAACACTGTGTTTTAATTGTATAGATAGGAAAAGAAAACCTTATGAGGTTTGTAGTCGACCATTCATTTCCCTGACATGATGCTGTTTGATGTGACATAACCAAGGTCCCAGTGGCCAGAGGCCAAATTGGTAGACTACTCTTATACTTTCAAAGTTCAAAACAGTGAGCAACAGAAAATCATCTAGTACATTTAGTTCTAGTGCACTAGGGTTTGGGGATACAGGTTACTTTAGGTATGAATCAGTAGTAATACTCTATTGTACAGATTTGTGTAGTCATAGCATCTCTGTTTATCCCTCAAACTACTTTTGAATTCAGATTATATCTTGATAGAAAGAGATGGGGGGGAGTTGGTGAGATAGCTCAGAGGTTAAGGGCACTGGCTGTTGTTCCAGAGGTCCTGAGTTCAATTCTCAGCAACCAAATGGTGGCTCACAACCATCTATACTGAGATCTGGTTCCCTCTTCTGACCTGCTTATCATAGTTATACACAAGTTTCAATGGTTAAGAAACCTGGTATTTCACATAGCTGCATATAACCGGTGAGGGGACAATCCTAGGCAACGATTTGCATTACATTGTCACTTCAAGGCATACAGGACTTAAGTGAAATCATTTTCTGTGAACCATTGTTGATGTCTCTTCCGCTTTTGAAAAACAGTGATGGAACAAGAGAAAAATTTGCCTTTGCGTAACTAATTCTCTCTTCTCGGTTGTTTTCCTATAGAAAACTGATTAAAAAAATCACAGGGTGTAGTGCTGCTGAGGTCATTCACTACCATGGGCCTGACATAAGCTTCAGCCTTGGCAGGTGTGGCTGCAGCCTGTTGCATTTCCAACCTGTAGATCTCATAACTTATGAACAGTCAGTCACTCGGTAAACACACAGCATTTTACTTGATCTATGTTGACCACAAAAGAAAAAACCTAGCTGCCATTAACTGACCTCAGCCCTAGCCCCCTAGGCCTAGAACAGAGTTAAAGCTGGAAACCTCTGTTGCATTAAACACTGAACAAATAAACACATATATAGAATTTCAACTTCCAGAATGTAAACATGACTTTTGTCTATGTAGATATCAAACATAGTCCCTGGAAGTTGTGATTGCATATCCAATGCAGATCAGTGAGACCGCTGCCATTAGCTACATGGATTTTATGACTAAAGTGAGAGTGAGCCCAGATAATAGAGAAGAATCCTGTGGAAAAATAATTTTCTCTGGCAATGGTTCTACTGTAAACATGAAGGATGAATCATTCTTCTTGATGAACTCAGAAATGTTTTAAAATTTTGGTTTATATCCAGTAAATAACTGCCCATTTGGAGCCCAATGTTTCTTCTTTGTGAGTGGGTAAGCAACAAAAAAGGGGAAAAATGAATTTCTTGTTTTTCCTGATAATGATTTTCTGCATTGTAGAATTAGTACAGAAACATTTCATACAGTGGAAAATTTATCCAAGAAAGGTTAAAAGAGGCTAGAAAGGTGGCTCAGTGCCTAAGAGCACAGACTTCTCTTCCAGATGACCCAAATTTGGTTCCCAGAACCCACATCAATTGGCTCACAACTGCTTGGAACTCTAATTCCAGATCTCATGCCTCTTCTGGCTTCTATGGGCAACTGTACTCAGATGTACATTCTCATACACAGATGTATGTTCTATGTTTGTTTTTCAAAGTTGATTCTATTTGTTTTGTCTATCTGTCTGTCTGTCTGCCGCCTGCCTAACTACCTACCTACTCTAAACACAGAACAGTAGCTTCTCCTCCCTCCAATTGACTGTCCTTGCTGGGAACAGACGCGAGTGCTATTTGCACTGTGTATGTATGGGAGCACACTAGTGACCCTCCTTACCAGAAAACAACTCTTGCTGCTAGGACCAGAAACTGCATGTGATTCAACTCCGTTTATGAAGGGTAGAGCAACACTACCTCGCCTTACAAGAAACACACTCTGCTTTTGCAAAAGGAGCACTCTTCTACTCTACTGTGTTTCCGATAGGGCCACAACAGTAAGCTTACTCAGAACCAAAGAACTGTGCTTCCCCAACAAAGGGCCATATCTACTTCAACTCTGCTTAGGAAACTGACAAGAACAGTAGGTTCTCTTCCCTCCAATACACTGCACTTGCTGGAAACAGACGGGAGTGCTATTTGCACTGTGTATGGCAATGGGAGCACACTAGTGACTGTCCTTACCAGCAAACAACTCTTTCTGCTAGGACCAGAAACTGCATTCATTCAACTCCGTTTATGAAGGAGAAAGAAACACTAGCTCCCCTT